CCGGTGTCCCCGGCCCCTCGGCGCCGCCCTCGGGTGGGGCCCGGGCCCCTCTCGCGCGCAGGTCTCTGGGCTCCGCGTGCGCCCGGGTTGCGCTCTCATTTCCTTCCTCCCTTCGGTCTCCCCGCCGCCTGGGGGAAGGTGATGTGGTGTTTATGCTTCTCGGTCTCCCAAGCCCCAGCGCCCACCGGGGCGCCCGCGGACCAGTCCCCGCTCTCTCCCTTCACTGCCCAGTTAAAAAGACAGTCGTAGAAAATAGGTCATCTTTCTTCCCACGCGCCCCTGGCCGTGGTCCACACGCGCAGTGCCATACTAGGGAGAAGAATTCAGTGCTTTGGAGTTTGTTATTCCGGTTTTAAACTCTTCCTCCTCGTGGCTCCAGCCTAGCGAAGCAACTCCGCCAATTCCTCCGTTTCCACTGGGGAGAAGGAGGCGATTAGTGACGTGCGCCACTTGCTGCGGGGGCCTCACCTCCGCCTCGTTGTGTAGGGAGGAAGACATTTAAGTGTTTCAGAAAAATGCACGCGTTCAGAATCACTTAGGACATACTCTTTTGCTCTTTTAAGTAAAAGGGGCGATGTTTCAAGTGCAAAAATACTTTTAGTGTCGATAGATTAATTTTGCCTTTTCAGAAAGGACTATGATGACATTTTAAAGCTGAATTGATCAGTTACAGTCTTGGACAGCTGTTTAAGTGAATATACTCCAAGAATATAGTAAAACACAATCAGCTTTTCTCTCTACCTTTGAAATTTGCAAAGATTAGCTCGAACCACGATATACAGTGCTTATATTGGTTACTTTGCTTGAAGTCACACCTTATCAAATTAATCTCAGCGTCTGCTGTGATTAATATTTTGGTAAAATTTCAACAACTTGGGAATGAGTTTTTCTCTGACTTAAGAAAGTAGTTTGCAAAGTGCAGTGCTTAACGATAGAACAACCTCTTTATTGGGATCCCAAACAACCTTGGGTTTTAGCCTTCCACTCCCACTTTCCTGTCTTGCCCTCCTTTCTCTCTGTGTATTTAAGATTGTAAATTAATATCTGAAGTGGATCTCTGGTCCGAACAGAGTGAAATGGTTGTCACTTTTCTTCGTTCTTCCAGTGTGCTATCTGTGCTTTCCCCCCCCCCTTGGAGTAGAAGTGATGTTGGACTTGAAGATTAAAACATTTATGCCTGTATGCGCTGCAGGAATGAGAGTTTCTCTTCATTCTCTGTCTATAAGATATAGTGCAGTGAAATTGTTACTAAGAAAGTAGTGTTGAGCTTCTCTTCCAGGTCATGGATATTTAGGCCACATTGAGTGAAGAATAAAACTTTCTTTAGATAATGAAAGAAGAAGACTGAATTCAAATATTTTCTATTCTTAAGTTTAGTTACTAGGAAAGTTTTTGAGAACTCTGACTTAGCCATTCGACCTCCTAAAAACTTGATGCTTTCATGCCCAGAATGGCAAAGATGACAATGCTAGGGAAAGTATCAATATCAGCACAACAAGGGTTTGCTTATAGTAAAAATTTAGTGGATGATCTTGGCAACCAGTGAAACCCAGGTACAGACCCTGTGTATTCACAGGGAGTTGGTTGCAGGACACTCCCTCTGCCCCCATAGCCAAACTCAGGGATGCTCAAGCCTCTTCCATTAGATAAAATTATTAGTATTTGCATATAATCTGTCTACATCATCCCATAAACTTTTTAGTCATTTGTAAATTACTTATAATACCTAATATAATGTCAATCCTATGTGAATGGTTGTTGTAAATAGTTGTTATTCTGTGTTATTTAGGGAATGATAAGGGAAATAGTCTGTACATGTTCAGTATGGATTTTTTTTCCCCAAATATTTTGATCCATGGTTGGTTGAATCTGGATATGGAACCCAAGAATGAGGGTTGGGAGTGTGTGATTGTACATAGTTTGTGTCCTATGGAATTTTAGTAGAAATATGAGTAAATATGCTGTCTCCAAGTCAGGGTTCCTCTGAATGCTTTCTGACTAGATGTCAATTTAGTTTAAGACTTTAAAAGCCTCTTAAATGTTTGAATTACATAGTCTCCTTTTTACTTTCACTAACTGAAGTAGCTGTTAGAAATGTAACTAATGTAACACTGTATCTTTGTTGTGTATGGTTTGATGAATGTCTTCCACTGGGAGATTTTTTATCTTTGGAAACCTCACCTACTCCTGGCTACAGTGCATGGTGCTTCTGTTGGGGGTAGGGAGGAAGTTTCTAGTAAGTGTGTTTCCTCTCCCTGGACCAAAGTCCTGGGAATAGAACCATGATCATGTTGCCCCAGAGAGGAAAAGGAGTCATTTATTAATGTGACATTTAATATTTTTAATAGAATGGTTGAATATATCTTTTTTCTAGTGTTATTTTGGAAGTTGCTAATGGCCAGTTATTTGCTTTCTCAATTGGATTTATTAGTGAAAAATATTTTGATTTTCTGTGCATCCTTTTTCTCTTCTTACAGTCAGAAACATTTTTATCTTAAATATCATTCTGGTTCATAGTTAGGATTTAAGGATTCCTCACTTAAAAGTTTGTATGATTTTCACTTTTGTTGCAGTTATAGGTACACCTTACTTGGCAAAATGGATTGCTATGCATTGGATTTCCTCTTACTAATTCATTTTCCTACTCACAAAATTGAAGATATTCATTATTTTGATATGAAAACAATAGTTTTTACTTTCAAATTAAAAATATATTTCTGACAGTATTCTTATATTTTTCTATTACAAGGGGTTTGACAATTTGTAAACAAACTTGTAGAGAAGTTTACTAGTTTTTCTTGTCATATAGTCTTATGAAAAAAACTTAATTCACAGAAGCTTATTAAAAGTCCATTTTTTGTTCTTAAATTTACCTAGCTGGCAATTAGCTACATAGACCCCATTTCCATTTAGGAGTCTCCTCTAGGTTTTTGTAGTAAACAGATCACAGATCAGAGGTACCAACATAGTTATTAACAATTTGAACCTGAAATAAACTTGAACAAAAAAATACTTCATATGATAATGAATCAAATTCTAATACCAAAGTTAAGACTTTGAAATTCTTTTTTCCCCCCTTCTTATTTCAAGTATTTTCCAAGACATGAACTACCTAGATTAAGGTAAGTCCAAACCCTCCTGGCTGACAACGGAAGACAGGGCACACTCTCAAGTTAAGCTTTTGTAAAGGTTCTGAGTGGCACTGATTACCAAGCCACAGTGAAATTTTAATCTTTTACAAGCCTAGCCTCAGGAATGGGGTGGGGAGAGAGGGGAGAGCAGAGCAGCAGCAGGAAGAAATGTTTTCACTCTTTGAGAAGGACTGAAAATTGTGTAGACAATATAGATAATCACGTGATAAACAAGAACTCTTTAAAAAATTTTTGGGTTAGTAGTAACAATTGTATATACACAAAATTCTTAGTAAATATGCAGTATTTTAGGTTTGTTACTATCTGATCCTGACTTTCACTGCCCTTTTTTAAATAAAATACTTCACTAGAGTATAACAAGATCCGTGGATTTTATTTTATTAATTTTTAAAAATATTTATTTATTTTTTTAGGTGTAGATGGACACAACACAATGCCTTTATTTTTATGTTGTGCTGAGGATTGAACCCTGGTCCCGCCCATGCTAGGCGAGTGCTCTACTGCTGAGCTACAATCCCAGCCCAAGATCAGTGAATTTTAAAGTTTCAGTTTTGTAAAATAGACATGACTCTTCAATATCATAGTTTTCTATTAAGCATATTCAAGAGAAAGTAAGAATTATCATTAAAGTTGCTTTTGCCATAAAGTATTTACCTGTAATTTAATTAAATTTACTAGTAAATTTTTCATTTATTGATTGTAATAATTTAGCATTGTCATGGTTACCTAATTGGTTTGTGCAGGTTTTTGATGAACAGCAAGTGTGGCATTGCAGAACTCAATGCGGGATACGCCTGATTGGGTGGAAGCTCCTTTGCAAGTTTCACTCTTGTCTCAAATTAAACCTCAGGCCACTCCTGACAAGACCAAAGAGGGAAAACCTTTACCCCTATATGTTTTATTATTGCAGGAAAATACTGTTATTTTGACATTAGGGATAAGCAGTGAACTTTCGGGCTTTCATAAATGTTCGTTTTGAGCTGAATCCTTGATGTTCTATTATTGAGTTATCAGTAAAGTTTGTCATCAAGTGTGCTTGTCAGACTGCCACCAACTTGCGTGTCATCTTGCATACATCAGCTACTTTCTTTAAGGATCAGCTTTCTCATCTATAGAGGGGCATGATAAAAATTTTTGTAAAATGCTCACCTCAGTTTCAAT